AACTAAATTAATCAATTATAATTAAAATCAAACAAACTTAGACCGAATAAAACCCAAAACTATCAATAAATAAAATTAAATCAACATTATATAATAATAAATTCAAGTAATCGATCATAAAATAATAAAATATATTGAATACAAAACCAAATTGAATTGAAGCGGTTTTTTTAAATAGAGTGATTCCAGAGGAAGATTTATGTATATAAACATGTACACCCGTGTGAAACTGGGGCGAGTAGCTAGTATAAAATAAAGTCGCTGTCACTGTCTGTCCCTATGTATGCTTAAATCTTTAAAACTACGCAATGGACTTTGAAGCATTTTTTTAATAGATAGAATGGTTCAAGAAGAAGGTTTATATGTATAATACATGTACACCCGTGTGAAACCAGGGCAAGTAGCTAGTATATAATAAATAACAATAGGAAAATGTAAGATGGTTGAGACACGTCAGTGTTTAGTAGACAATAATGAATTTTTCTTACTAGGCATGTTTAATTGCAATTATTATATTGATATATCTAGGTAACTGTGTCTGTCTGTGTGATATTTTTGTTCTAAATCCATCTTTGAATGTGAACATCGATCACTATAGTCTCGGCTGGTGGGTTGACAGTATGTGGGTGAAGGATTATACGCCACTTGCATACTAATTCACCTGACGTCTTCCGACGAGTTATTACCTCTTGCATATCCGTTATTATGCTAATGTGTGTACGCCCTTACAATTTTTGTGACATGTCAGCATTGTTACCGTAATTGGATGTTTGTATCTATGTATTAAGTTATTACATTTGAATGTAGATATTTTGACAAGGCTGTGAGAAAAGTTATACAATATTGTAGTTCTATTTCTGATTTATGATGCAAGAAACCCGCCCCGAGGCCAACATTTGAAGTTCTAAACTCGGCCTTTGATTATAATAATTTTCAGTAGCATATGATTTTTTCCACCATGATAAGTTTATGGCAAACTTTACCACCGATCATTCCTCATGAACATGACCGATCGGAATTTTTTGAGAGGGTCTCTATCGTCGATGAAATTTTGGTCTCGATCTGTCAAGCCGTTTCGGAGGAGTATCGTTACAAAGAGTGCAAATCTGATCTCAAAGATCGCTCCGCGCTTTGCGCTCCACTCAATAAATAAGCTATTTATTTAGATAAGAATGAATATCGTGTTTATAAACACACCATCGCAAGTAATGCATTATTTCAAAAGAAATTTTATTACCAATAAAAAAAGATACAGTAAACTAATGTTACAGGATAGACATATGTTGTCGTAGACTTTATTTTAGAACTAAAGGCCAACAATTCCGTCATAAATATTTTTTGCGTAACTTTAACCGTTTACGCAGCGCTTGCAGCGAAAGCTGAAAATAAATATTTTTTGCCACAATTTTCATTCCTGCTCTGCTCCTATTGGTCGTAGCGTGATATAGCTTATAGCACTCGGGGATAATAAACCTTTCTAACAATGAAAGATTTAAATCGGATTATAAGAACCGGAGATTTCCCCGAACAAACAAATAATACAAACTTTACCTTTCTAGAGATACTATTAGGTACGTTAAATATTATAATAAAAATAAGACCCTCATAAAAAAATATTGGGTGCCGGATCCATCTTCTGGCAGAGTGGGAATCTCTGAGCAGTTCCCGGTCACAAGTCCCGGGAACTGCTCAGGGTTTCACTAACAAAACCCTTTCTTCCTCTTCTGAGCTGTATATTGTATTGAGAAATTCCCTATATAGGTACTATAACATACTGTCTAAGAATTAACTATTTATTAACTTACGTAAACGTTTATGAATACTTAGTAATTGGCGCTCAGCCAGTAATAGTAATTGGTAAAACCAACTTTATCATTACATTCTACTATAGTAATAAAATTCCAGGATTCCATTGTATGATTATACTACTAACTGCTCACCCTGACTTCGCATGAGTGTATCTATTGTACTAATGAGTAAATGAAAAACGCCGTCATTTACGAGTACATTACGATTATTTAATAAATAAAGTGCCAATTGATGCGACCCTACCCCTTAGAGTAATCTCTTACATGTACCCAAGTTTTAAGTAAAGAAAAGGTACAAATAAAATGCCTGAATAAATAAAATATTATAGTGAAACTTATTAATAAATTATTTTTATTAATTTAAATTAAATTTCACTTAATTTAACTTAAATAAAAAAAATATTACTTTAATTCAGTTTATACTTATTGATTATATTGTATATATTACCAGAAAATCAATCAGAAATGTAAATTTATTTGACACGCAAACTACTTTTTTGTGTTGGCCAGATTTGAACTAACGATCTTTGCTGTCTAACTCGAAGTAATAAACCACTACATCACAACAATCTCAGACCGAGACAATAGTAAACATAAAGCATCACATCCACAGTCGTAACCTTACAAATTCCGTGGCGCCATAATAAATAACAAAACTATTATCTACCCATCGGATCGTCTATAAATGCAGTAAATCGACTTTTCTACCAACCTGTGTCGCCGCTGTGGACAAATACCTATGGTAATTTTTGTAAATCATCACCATCGATTAACATTACAGTGAGTCGGAATACTTCCTATTATTCTCATAATCACGTGTTTCTTTTCATTATAAATATTAGCAGACGATTGTGACAAAATAACAATAATAACCCTGGATTGTTACTAGAGGAGATTGTTAGTAATGTGGATTAATACCCCATTGCTAGCAATGTACCATGTCAGGTTGAGCTTGTTGATCACGTGTTTCTTATCATTATAAATGTTAATAGATGCTTGTGGAAAAATAATAATAATAACCCTGGATTATAGGGAGAAAGAGATCGTTAGTAATGTGGATTAATACCCCATTGCTAGCAATGTACCATGTCAGATTGAGCTTGTTGATCACGTGTTTCTTATCATTATAAATGTTAATAGATGTTTGTGGAAAAATAATAATAATAACCCTGGATTATAGGGAGAAAGAGATCGTTAGTAATGTGGATTAATACCCCATTGCTAGCAATGTACCATGTCAGGGTGTTCTCCACGCGGTTCACGTGTCACCATCATGTTAAATTCCTGGTATAATTGTCACAATGGATCTACCCATCGATCGGATCGTTTGTAAATGCAGTAGTCCTCTTTTTTACCAACCCGTGTCGCCGCTGTGCACAAATGCCAATGGTAATTTTTGTAAATCATCGTTGGCGTCATTGTAATCAATTGAATCATCGATTAACATTACCGTGAGTCGGAATACTTCCTATATAAATAAAAGTCAATATGGCAAAATAATAATAATAACCCTGGATGATAGAGCAAAGGAGATTATTAGTAATGTGGATTATATATAATTGCTAGGAATATATTATATCAGGTTGATATCCACGCATTTCCTCTGGAAACCATCATGTTAAATTCCTGGTGAACTTATCGTGAATTTGGTGTTTTGCATACGGCAAGAAATTGAACTTGCGACCATAGAAAGAAGAAAACCAACGCGGCCGTCTTTCTAATCGATTTGAAAATAAACGGTTCTTCTCGACTGTACAAGAATATTATTAGAAAAAATATATTAATACAAAAAACTTGACGCTCATAAGCGGCTAAAATGTCGTACATGAATAAATTATTTTCTATTTGATTTGAAAACTTGTACATGTTTACAAAAATACAGATTCATTTTTAAATTCAAATGTGGATAATGTAGTGACCACCAGCATGTGCTATTGCATTTTTGTTAAAAGGAAATAATTTAATTAGTATCTATAGGCATGCAATTTTTATGGTGACGTAATAATATTCGCCATCTTTGATGTTTCGTAACAGTTCGTAGTTTAGGGGTCATTTTCCGGTCAATTGTCCTCATCTGGACCTCTGCGAAGGTGAAATGTTAGTCACCGCACGTCCCATGAATCATAATGATTTAGTTCAACTGAACGAAACACAAAATTGTTTCATTCAAATTTAGATATTATTCATGAATTAAAAAATAATTCATGCACGTCATTTTTTTTGTATATTTCTTTTAACTTTTTTGATTTGGCAAGAAAGTCAACTAGTAATTTTTTCTGTCAGATTTTATTTTTAATTATTACATTACTTATAAGTAGTGTATATGTAACATAATTAAAATATATATCCCTTATTTGAACAACTAACGCCATACACGGTCGCCTGCCAAATAATCATTTACTGAGATAGACTTTATTTAATAAGTAGTTCTTCATATTTTTTTATTGATTATACAGTAAATATATAATACCTTTTGGAGCAATATGTGAGTAATAATTAATACTAATTACAGAGCAATATAGCTCTAGTTTTATTCAATAAGTATTTCATTAAAATAACATACCATAGGTTATATTGGAATTACCTTTAAATAAATTCAAAACATCTGTTAAATCGTATTTATTGAGTAAAACCTATTACACACATTATCATTGTTGAACAAACGTGCATGGCAATACTAGTTACTGCACGGGATTTTCACTTAATGTTAGACATACACACCTATACACAATGTAAATAAATTGGCTATTAAAAAAAACCAGTTGAGTTTCTTGCCAGTTCTTCTCAATTGAATCTGTATACTGAACAGGACGGTAGGGAAAAAAATTGATACAAAAAATTTTACGTTCATAAACTGCTAAAGTGTCCTACATGAATAAATGATTTTTGATTTGATATATTTTCAAATTCATTAAACAGTAAATCCATAATACTTTTTTTTTATACCACTTAGGTGGCAAACAAGCATACGGTCCATCTGATGGTAAACGGTTACCGTAGCCTATGGACGCCTGAAACAGCAGGAGTGTCACATACGCGTTGGCGACCCTTAAGAAACCTTAATATACCCTTCTTGAAAAACCCCCATGCTGTAATCTCTCGAGAAAACCTCAGCAGGGAGTTCATTCCTTCATATATGATGAAGATGATATAAAGAAATATATGAGTAATCATGAATACTAATATTTGCAGTACATCGTCACCTGTCTGTGCATGGTAGTGCACGCTGCACCCCCCGCGCCGCCGCGACTCTACCCTCAAAACACGCCTGCACAGTTACAACAGATAAATCCGTAAGTTTGCATATTTGCCTATATTTATTTTGAACTTCTGTCTCTACCTTCTATTATCTATCAACTCATTTCTACACTAATCCTATAAAGGGACTGGAAGGGGTTTGTTAGTAATGTGGATTAGTAACCCCACTGCTTGTAATGTCTCACGTTAGGTTGACTTCCACGCGGTCTCTACTGGAAATCATCATGTTAAATTCCTGATGAATTTGCCAAGATAGGCTAACTGACCTTATCTCAAACTCATCTTATCACCCTCCACTGGTGCCCTGCCAGCGCCGCCAGGAAACAATAGAGGTTTCTGTTCTTTTTAGTATTAGCAATAGATTTTTTTTTTATGAATATGGAACTGATGGGGCCCCAGTAAATGTTGATGAGATGATGAATTCAGATCAGTAAACCCATCGTAGTAAATTGATTAACATCAACAACAATGGATTTCAGGGAGAACTGCTTGGAGGTTAAGCTGATAATCATTATATCTTATACCCGGACAATTCACACAGCGCCATCTAGTTATTATATTAAAATATTTTTTATTTCAGTTATGACTACTATTTGGACAATCCGGAGGTAGCGAACTATTATAATCAACTACAACAGAAACAGGGTAAGTTCATTTCAATAACATTTTCACTTCACCAATTTATACAGTCAAATAATAAGATTTTTTCGAACTATTCTATTCGATTGACCGCAGCTGGCCTTTACATATTCACCGGACGATAGGAAGCGAGTACAAAGGGCATTCCAAACCCGCGGAAGGACTTATGGAGCGGCTGAAGGCCAAATCCTACTTGAAGGTTACGACTTTAGTCTGAAGGCACCGCTAGCGGTTCGATCCTCAGCTCAGACCGACCTAATTTCGATCCCTGTTTCAATGGGATGGAGGATAGATCTGAAGGGATAAATAGCTGTGCTATTCTTAGTGATCGAAACATATATACATATATAGGAACCTGGATACTCACAAGGATAACATTTCCAAAATCTACCTTGGCTAAATTAATTATAAATAAACAATTTACTTAATTTTAACTTTCATCAATAGATATACAGTATACAGTTTAATGCAATTCTGACTCCCAAACTAACGTGAGCTGTACATCTAGAGTTAGTATAGTTGTCACAATGTGTTAGTGTTGTGCTTTTCCATCATTCTTTTTATAAATGTTAATGTCCTTTTTCTTTATTCATCATTTTGACTATCTTGTGAGCGCTTAGGCTAATATGCACGTAAAATTATGCTTGTTTTTTTTTTAAACCGAGATTGTAATAATCCCGCTCTAGTCATATAATGGGAATAATCGTTCAAACTTAAAATTAATAATAATCGACCCAAGTTACTACTTTCTTTATGTATTATGTACCATGTAATTACTCATATTTATGCTCGACAAACAATACCGCTAATGAATCCATACGTAAATTATTTAACTATTGTTTTCAGCTTCCACAAATACAAATTCAAATGGTGCACCTTCAAGGCTAGAAACCTTGGAGCCGGACAGCGAGGTGGAACTCTTACCAGGCGCTCAACAGCCTCAGCAACCGCCACAGCAGGTTATTTTTTTTTTACGCAAGTCAAAAAAGTAATAATTCAAAAGCATTTTATTAATATTGGATTTTTTTGTATGCACGTCTTATAGTACCAAAATTTTTTTAACATAGGGGATGTTAAAAATAATTTGGTCTCTTGTTGAGAAAGGTTGTTGTAGAGACTAAGTCTCTTGTCTCCCGCATACCTGGCAGTTTTATTATATACAGAGAATACTGTAATTCTATTATATTACTACTTTACTTTATTAAACGAAAGTTTTTATTTTCGTGTATACTGTGCAAAATACTAAGCGTCCTAAACTTTCTTACTAACTTGTGTACAAATTCAAATACATTCCAGAATCCAGTGTCTCCTAATATTCCTGGACTAGTACCTGGACAAAGAGTGTTCATCGTTCACATGCCAGTTCCAGGATACAGGTATATCTTTTTCTTATCACTTATCTTTCCCCATTTGAACTTTTTGGAAGAAGATATTCATACATTTCATTTAAGAGCAGCGCTCATATCGTTTGCCATTTCGCACTATTTTCCATCAATATGTTTAATTGTAATCCATATAATCCAATTACTATATTTTTGGTCTTCCCATTTTTTCTTTCCTTCTTTTTCTTCCTTTGATAATATCTTCATAAGTATTAGGGGTACCGGAAAGTAGTGTCGTTTTGCGCATGTCAATACTTGACTGTCATTTATCACTCATTGTTTAGTTTAGAGGGGTACAAAGACATTGTGAGATTATAGTGAGATCTTCCAGCCTATTTTCTATATATAATATAATAATATTTATAACCTTCTTTTCCTTAACCCTCGCAGTACTCTTTCATTTCTTACTTTATCTTTCCATCCGGCTCCAGCACCACATTCAAAAGCATCGAGTTTGTCTATCTCATTTTAGTCAATATCTACATCTCACAACCATACAAAGCTATACTTCAGATGTAGATCTTGATACGTCGTTCAATATAGATATAAAAAATAAATAACGTTAGTTAATTTTTTTATGATTATGTAGAGCAGCGCAGGATCGATCGTCGTGGAGATCTTTGGGGGAGGCCTATGTCCAGCATTGGACGTCTTCCGGGCTGCGATGATGATGATGATGATGAATAATAATAATAATAATCTCAGGACAATTCACACAGCGCCATCTAGACCCAAGTTAACCTAACTAAAGCTTGTGTTATCGGTACTAAATAACTGATACATATACATAGATATTTTTTTTGTAAATACATACATATTATTCATAGAAAACACCCAGACCGATACAAACAATCATACTCATGAATACAAATGTTTGTGCCATGCGAGAAATCGAATCCACGACCATCGGTCGTAAAACGGTGTGCTAACCGCTATACCACCGAGGTCGTCAAAGAGGTAGATGACGCTAAACAATTGGACCTTAATTTGTTGTGATAATGATATAAAACTAATAAAGTAGGGTCGACAATGCGCACGTGATACTCCTGGTATTTCAGGCGTCTATATGCTACGGTAACAGTTTACCATTAGAGGCCGCATGCTCGTTTGCCTCCGTAGTAATATAAAAAATAATCCCACTTTCAGACCCGGTACCATTGGAGGTTACCAGCCTGTGTACATTGTGGCAGCAGCACCACAAGGCAATGCAGGCTTTCCAGCAAACGGTAAGCAACTTCTATAAATTATAACAACCCAGTCTCAAAATATTGTATAGTAAACTTTATTCTTTACAAAATAACATTGATTTCATTTTATAACATATATAGCTTCTTGAATACTGGCTTTTTAAAAAAAGTAAATCAATTGAGTTTATTGCCATTTCTTCTCAATTGGATCTATATACTGAACTGGAGGGCAGGGAAAAAATATAATATAGTAAATTTGAGCAGCTAAAATGTCCTACATGAATAAATGATTTATGAATTTGAATTTGTATTTACAAAATACAGTAATCAAATAATTTACAGTAAATGTGAACAAAGTTGGACATATCCCTTGAAGAGATATTTTCCAGTCGACCCATATAAGAATTATACGTATATTTTATACACATATATCTTTCTTCTTCTAAAAAGTAAATATCCAAAAAAAACCTAGCTATTAAAAAAATATTCAGTTAAGTTTCTTGCCAATTCTTCTCAATTGCATCCGGTTACTGAACTGGACAGTAGGGAATAAATATTAATACAAAAAATTTGACGTTCATAATCGGCAAAAATGGCTAAATGACTTTTGATTTGATTTGATATTGACCATCCCAATTTAAAAAATAAATTATGTAGAACAAGATTTTTTTACAATACTATATTTTTTTTAGGTTACCAGAACGCTATTCTTCTTGATCCGTCAGGACAGTCAGTTATATCGCCCGTACTCGGTTATCCTAGACAGGGAGTGGCAGGTGTTCAGGCCATCCAAGCCGGCAACCCTGGACTGCTTCTTGGGGCACCACTGGGTGTGAACAGACCTTTTGATTTGGCGTATCAGGAGCCAGTTATTGCTTACCAGTAGGTATTCATCTAAATATAATAACACTAATGTTGCCAGTGTCTTTTCTTTTATTCACTAGCGATCCGTCCCGTCTTTGCACGGATGCATTACTTTGTATTTCTCGGCTTATGTTCCTTTTAAACTCTCTCTCTATGTATTGCTGAAAATTGTATCAAAATCCGCTGCGTAGTTTAAAAGATGAAGGGGAAGACCAAGACACAGTTATATCAAGCAAGTTAAAGAAAAAGTTGGAGTCGTGTCGTATCAACAGCTAAAGGGACTGATAGAAGATCGTGGAAGGTGGCGGGAGCTCCACCGACAAGAGCACAGCTCTTAAATTATGAATGAATGAATGGAGTTTAAAAGATATGTATAAGCGATCAGATAACGGCAGCGACTTTGTTTTATAGTGTGTAAAGTTGATAATGGAATGGTGCACCCGCCTGCAATACGGTTTACGCTAACACTGCACCAGTGGAGGATAATAAGATGAGCATGAGGTTAGGTCAGTTAGCCAGTCTTCGACTTTGTTTTATACTGTGTAAAGTTGATAATGGAATGGTGCACCCGCCTGCAATACGGTTTACGCTAGCACTGCACCAGTGGAGGATAATAAGATGAGCATGAGGTTAGGTCACTTAGCCAGTCTTCGACTTTGTTTTATACTGTGTAAAGTTGATAATGGAATGGTGCACCCGCCTGCAATACGGTTTACGCTAGCACTGCACCAGTGGAGGATGATAAGATGAGCATGAGGTTAGGTCAGTTAGCCAGTCTTCGACTTTGTTTTATACTGTGTAAAGTTGATAATGGAATGGTGCACCCGCCTACAACAACGGTTTATGCTAGCACTGCATCAGTGGAAGATGATAAGATGAGCATGAGGTCAGGTGAGTTAGCCAGTCTTCGACTTTGTTTTATACTGTGTAAAGTTGATAATGGAATGGTGCACCCGCCTGCAATACGGTTTACGCTAGCACTGCACCAGTGGAGGATGATAAGATGAGCATGAGGTTAGGTCAGTTGGCCAGTCTTCGACTTTGTTTTATACTGTGTAAAGTTGATAATGGAATGGTGCACCCGCCTGCAATACGGTTTACGCTAGCACTGCACCAGTGGAGGATGATAAGATGAGCATGAGGTCAGGTCAGTTAGCCAGTCTTCGACTTTGTTTTATACTGTGTAAAGTTGATAATGGAATGGTGCACCCGCCTGCAATACGGTTTACGCTAGCACTGCACCAGTGGAGGATGATAAGATGAGCATGAGGTTAGGTCAGTTGGCCAGTCTTCGACTTTGTTTTCTACTGTGTAAAGTTGATAATGGAATGGTGCACCCGCCTGCAATACGGTTTACGCTAGCACTGCACCAGTGGAGGATGATAAGATGAGCATGAGGTCAGGTCAGTTAGCCAGTCTTCGACTTTGTTTTATACTGTGTAAAGTTGATAATGGAATGGTGCACCCGCCTGCAATACGGTTTACGCTAGCACTGCACCAGTGGAGGATGATAAGATGAGCATGAGGTCAGGTCAGTTAGCCAGTCTTGCGAATTCACCAGGAATTTAACATGATGGTTTTAATGGTTGGTATTAATCCAAATTGCTAACAATCCCTACCCAACCAACTAATTTTTTGATGTTGCTATTTTCTTTACGAGAATCTCAATCAGAAATATAAATTAAAACAACAAAGGTTGTTTATTTGTGGTGTGAGCCAGAATTGAACGCCTCTTGGTTATTACTACATAAAACTAAGTCGCTGTCGCTGTCTGTCCCGATATATGCTTAAATCGTTAAAATCACGCAACGGATATTGAAGCGGTTTATTTTAATAGATAGAGTGATTCAAGAGGATCCTTTATATGTATAGTACATGTACACCCGTACGAAGCCGGGGTGGATGGCTAGTAATTCTATATAGAAAACCAATAGGCGACGCATTCATATTTATAATTCAATACAGAAATTCCATTCACATATAAATCTCCTTTCTAATTGATGTTTTTCGTCAAATGTTACATAAGACATATCATTTCCTCTGAAATAATGAAATTAATGTTCTTAAATTTTATAACCTAGTATAAATATATCAATATATACATATATTTAATGATCTTGAAGAACTAGTTTAGTCTTATTTTTAAGTGTTCGTAATCTGAAAAGTTATGTATTACTAGCTGTTCCCGCGAATTCGTCCGCGTGGAATTTATCTTTATTTTTCTAAAATAAAAATAGCCTAAGTTACTCCTCATTACATCAGCTACCTACCAAAAAAGTCCCGTCAAAATCGGTCCAGCCATTTCAGAGATTAGCCGGAACAAACAGACAGACAGACAAAAATTGTAAAAACTGGTATTTTGGTGTATTTACGGTATTTATCTTCATATGCATGTAGTAAAAAACGGTTATTTCAATATTACAAACAGACACTCCAATTTTATTCATATATATAGATTAAACAACAACTCATGTAATTTCCTTTGATCTGTTTTTATCTTTGGCCAATTAATGAATTAATTACGTTCTGTTTATAGTCACTAAATAGTTATATTTGTATACTAATTGGCTGAGATGTTACTAAATTTTAATTGCAATGTGATTATTTAATATTGTTGTTTGTCTACTTTCTTTAATCGACTAAAAGGTTAAAAAAATTGGACTTTTCCTTCATTTCTTGTATTATATTACGTATATGAAAAATATCACAATAGTTGGATTAATCTAGGAAAAAAAACAGACAACATAATACTAACTAGACGTAACCTCATCCAATTCGAATTAAAAAAATAGAAGATAAAAGTAGCCTAAGTTACTTATAATATACATTAGCTATCTGCGAGTGAAAATCCAGTCAAAATCGGTCTAGTCGTTTCATAGTTTAGAAATAACAAATATACAGACATATTGACAAAAATTTATGAAATTATTTTATGATGTTAGTACCGTATATAGTTTCACGTGCATTTAGTGAAAAGCTGTTAATTTGAAATTACAAATAGATATTTCAATTATATTTATAGTACAACCCACCGTTGCTTCAAACGCCGTTTATCCTGTACTAGCTTATGCTCGCGGCTTCGCTCGCGTTAATATATCCCTTTAGGGGTGGAATTTATCAAAATCCTTTCTTAGGGGATGGCTACGTCATAGTAGCTTTATGCAAGCAAAGTCTCAGCCCGATCGGTTTAAAATTGACGAAGTTTCATATAAACTTTCATCCCCTATTTTATCCCCTTGGAGGTAGAATTAATCAAAATCCTTTCTTAGCGGATGCCTACGTCATAGCATCTACCTGCATGCCAAATTTCAGCCCGATCCGTCCAGTGGTTTGGTCTGTGCGTTGATAGATCACTATGTCAATCACCTTTGAGTTATATATATTTAGATATGTGACTGACATCTTATGCTTATGATACATATATATTATTTTATATAAAAAACTTCCGGAAGAAAATCTGAAAAACGACAACTCTTATTAACTCCAATACACTAAAGCATGAGGCGACCACGCCAGCCATATGATAACGTGATGACCGCTGCTGTACATGTACGGTGACGGTGACCACTTACCATCAAACGAGCCGTCAGCTTGTTTGCTATTCCAATCATATAAAAAAAAAATTAATCGAACTATTAATTATCGTGTTGCAGACCAGGACCTGCACCACAAGGAATAAACGGTGCGCAAGGGGCCGTGCGGCTCTCCCAGTACATCGCCCTTCAGGGTCTCCCAAACCCGGCTAATCCTAAAACAGTCAGTAACGGTGAGTATTTCTTATATATAAATACATTATACTATAATATTACATACTAATATTATAAACAAGAAAGTTTGTGAGTGTGGGTGGATGGATCAATGTTTATTACTCTTTCACGCAATAACTACTGAATGGATTTTATAGGAACGTTACAATAATATAAGCTATAAATTTCAATCTGATCAAACCGTGGGCACAATTAGTAATGTATAATGTAGAAATAATATAGAATATTTTATTAACACATTTATGAGACATTTTACTATATCAGTTACATTAATTTTAAGATTCGCAACAGAAAAACATATAATGTATGGGAAGAAGTAATGTATAATAGTATAAACGGTAGACATAATTTAATAAACACACAATTTAACAAAAAATGTATAATAGTATAAACGGTAGACATAATTTAATAAACACACAATTTAACAAAAAATGTATAATAGTATAAACGGTAGACAATTTAACAAAACACATTTTTAATTTACACTATGACAATTTACACAAATGGCAAAAAAAAAGGAAAAGTTAACTTTACTTTATTAACATAACTTAATAACCTAAGAACCTAAAATTAAAAAGCAAAAAAAATATAATATAATAATTAAAATATATTATTAAAAGGAGTCCCTTTAGGCGAAGTTCCGAAGATACTGGCATAGTATAAATTGTATTTTCACACAACACTATACAAGATTGAACACCTAAATGTAAATACGTAATTAAGTAAATAGATTAATGATAAAAAAAGAAATCAATGTATCAGTACTCTGTTTCCTCTCATGTAAGAGTCAATTAGGAGAGTCAAGGACAAAGACAATAGGACATGAATAAATAAACATGAAATAAAACCACAACGTAGGAACTATATAATAATAATCTTTATTTACTGCTTACAGGGAATCTTACAATGTAAATAAATTATATTTAACCTTACAATAAATATAATTTCTTTACATTCTAAGATTCCTAAAGCCTGAGGCACTAGTTACTTAGTATAAGTAAATGCTCGAGAAACCTGCTCCCAGAAATAATGCGATAATGGTATATCTTATATATAAAATTCTCGTGTCACAGTTTTCGTTCCCATACTCCTCCGAAAAGCTTGACCGATTCTCATGAAATTTTGTGAGCGTATTGAGTAGGTCTGAGAATCGGCCAACATCTATTTTTCATCCCCCTAAATGTTAGGGGTAGTCCACCCCTAATTTGTTTTTTATTTTAAGGCAAAACAACTCTTGCCGGGACAGCTAGTTATATAAATAAAAATATTTTTTGTGGCAGAAGCACAACCAAAACGACTAGTGGAGGGAGGCGACGGCAGTGAAACAAAACCAGCTGAAGAACCGAGACGCAACGCTAGACCTGCACAGATTCGGAGAAAAGCATAGACTATAACTTATCTCAATCACATTCAATTTATGTCTGTGCCTCATTTATAGGAAGTTAAAAAAAAGGAAAATTTGTTGAAAAAAATACAGGAGACTTAAGCCCGCTCACACTTGACGTTCTGGGCTGAACTGACAACTGTAAATGATTATTATTCTTTTATTTAAACTTTATTCATTAATAATGGATGGATATAACTCTTTGAGTATGTCGTACACTACACTTTTATACAGAATATCTACTAGATTTACAAAATCGGACGGTACTTATTAACTGACAGTTAATCGGTTCAGTTATAACTATATGTGTGTAACAGGCATTAGTTAGATTTGTATCAAATTCGAACAAAGCATAAATAATGAGTTTTTATAACTCGTTATTCTTAAAATCTTTAAGGACCATCACGCCACTATCTTTCAATTAGTTAATACACTATCTGTTTATCAAAATAACTGTGAAATTTGTAAATAAAGTTGAAAATATGTGATTACTCGTACCTATTAATGAACTTGAGAAAGAAAATTACTGATGTAATATTTGGCTGTTTATTATTGATGTAAGAATTATGTAGAATAATTATAAATATTAAGTTTCCAATATATTCGTATAAAAATAATTATAGAAGGAAATACTATTTACATTAGAAATTCGATATCCATGTGGTGTGTAACAATATGTAATATATTGTTATATAATAATGTATTTATTAATAAAACACTGTAAAATTATAAAAACAATAGTACAAATTATTTTTGTGCCTAACTGGAAGAACAATAAAAGTTTATTTAAACAAAACTGTTTTATTAAATTCTACTTTATTATTTTCGATAGGCTTTTAGAAGGACTATCAAATATTGGGCAGGTCTATGGATGTATAGCATCTTGTCGAATTCATTCAATTAGGTATAAATCTAAATAAAAAAAAATATACATCGACAATTTACCCCCGTGGTTATGATGGCAAATTTTTGAACATAATCTGACAACGTTAATAATAATTTTGTTTGAAATTATTTTGTTCTTTCCTCTTTTTTTAATTTAATAATATTTACCTATTGTTTTTAAGTTATGGAAAGTAATTTAAGGATTAACTTTTAAAAAAAAAATCCTGTTTGTCTATACTCTAATCTTTCTAATTTCTAGGACCGTTTCAACATACAGACATATTGATTATATTTAGAAAGCTTAAATTTGGAATACAAGTTCAATTTATAACGTAAAAATCAACAAATAAAGAATTTTTCTAATGAGAATTTATACAGAAATAATAACAGTCGCGCAATTAAACCCTGAGAGGTGAAATGTAATTAAACTAATTAAACTGAACGTATGTTCAAATACGTTAATGGCGTACGTAACTTTGTATATGAGTGTCGACTCCCTTCAGAATATGGAGCGATAGTGCACCTAACCTAACCAGTGCTGCGGGTACAACTTTCTATCACCTGGTCCGCAATTAACGGATATCATTAAGGCAGATCTATTGAGCACACGCCTGCCAAGGGTGTACTTATATATAGGTTCGGGAAATTATATTCAAGGAAAATTTTCTGTTTAGTTTGTTATGATGGGGGAAGTGGATTGTGAGTAATGTGATTAGATAGATAGATAGATAAAAATTTTATTCACGTTATTGATTAATAACCCTATAGCTAGCAATGTACCATGTCACTACGGTACTACTATATTACTAGCGGTTGACCTCTAAGTGGTGTTCACTCTGGAAACCATGGTAATCAATTCATGGTTCATTTCCCGCGATGGGCTACGTGGTTCCCCCTGGAAACTGTCGTGATAAATTCATGGTGATTTTAAGTTGGGTTAACTGACCTGACCTCATGCTCATCTTATCATATTCCACGAGTGTCGTGCCAGCGTAAACCGTTAGTGCAGGCGGGTGCATCATTCCATTATAATCCATTACTAAAAAAGAATTTTGTTATGACGTCAGTCGTACTACTCACGGGTTGCCATTTAGGAAGACTAAGATATCGTGCTTCCATTTTAACTGAACACATCGTACAAAGCAAGCTGTTTCGCGCTGAAATATGTGAAACAAAAGTACCCACGCCACAAACACGGAATCTTGGTAGTAAATAATTTGACGTCCTCGATAGTATAACGGTTTAACATATTACCTTATTTCCAACAGACGTGAGTCCGATTCCTGGCACAGGAATCATCATTACATAGTATAAAACAAAGTCGCTGTCATTGTCGGACAGACAATGACAGCCCTATGTATGCTTAAATCATTAAAACTACGCAACGGATTTTGAAGTGTTTTTTTTTAATAGATAGAGTGATTCAAAAGGAAGGTTTATATGTATAATACATGTACACCTGTGCAAAGCCAGGGCGAGTAGCTATTTATTCATATAGGACAATTTCGGCCATTTATGCATGTAAATTTTTTGTCACAACCTCTAGTGCCAAAAAATTTCTAGTTTGGCTTAGTTAGTTGCCAGAAACTAAAAAGTATTCAGTAGGACTATGTAATATTATGTTATCTGTGGTAGGACTAAAAGTTTTTGAACCTGAGTGCGAATTCAGCAATTCGGAATAAGTACAGTTCAACATCAATTATATAGATAACCGCTGACTCAACTAGTAACGGGTAGTGCAATCTAGTTGAGACGTCGAGAGAGGTAAATACCTTTATTTACCTCTAGCTGTTCCCGCGACTACGTCCGCGTGGAATTTAACTTTATTTTCTAAAATAAAAGTAGTCTAAGTTACTCCTTATTACATCAGCTACCTGCCAAAAAAAATCCCGTCAAAATCGGAATGCAGCCATTTCAGAAATTAGCCGGAACAAACAAAAATTGTAAAAAATGTTATTTTGTTGTATGTACCGTATTTATATTCATATGCATGTAGTAAAAAACGGTTATTTCAATATTACAATCTTCGTCATTGATCTATAATGAATATTCTTACTATAATTATCACTAAATATAAATACGTATAAATAATTTTGTACTTGCATAAATAATATTTAAAATAATTGTTACGTTGATATTTCGTTGATAGTCTGTTGTTGATATTTTTATTTAAGTAGAAAATTAAATTGCATATATTATTTACTCAATCACAATATAGGCCTAATTACCTGATTTAAATAAATAATATAAAATAAATAAACGATTATTATTATTTTATAATTGAGTATTAAATTTAAATTCCATTATCTTCAATTCCTTCAAGAAAAGAGGGCCTTTTTAAAAGGCCGACAACGTACTTGCAATTCCCCTGGTGTTGCGGGTGCTCATGGATGGCGGTAATCACTTACCATCAGGTGAGCCGCATGCTCGTTTGTCCCCTGTGTTATAAAAAAACAAAAAAAAAATATTTAAACAATAATTTTATAATTTTTTTTAAATCAAAATCCTAAATAGAATAGGAAATCACATATTTATTTAACAAAATATCAGATTTGTGAATCCATATCCAAAAACCCAAAAACTGAAGCATATTAATCTATCTGTTCCTATTTCACGACTAAATGGCTGAACAGATCTTAATGAAATTTAATTAAATATGAAAATTGTTTGTATCACGAGTTTTGTCCTCGTATACCATTTGCCTGAATAAAACGAAGGCCCTTCCTCTCATCTTATCTCATTGGCTGTCTTTATCACAAAAAACGCAAACTAGTCATCTCATCTCATAAGCCGTCTTTATGTCAAAAAGCGCAAACTCATCATCTCATCTCTCAGGTTGTCTTTAATATAAATAAAATCAAACGAAGTCGCGGGTAATAATCTAGTATTGAATAGTAATAGATTCAGTTAACATTCAAGTACAAAACTTATCTCGACTAGCTCCGTTACAGTTTACAATCTATACTTTACTGCAAGTATTAACGGACCACTATCTTGTATGCATCCAGAAATATCAAGTCACCATCGGCTACAAAGACGTCACCACTATGTAATGAAACAGCATCAACCTCATAACACGCGGGAATAAGGTTCAATTTGCAATATCACAGTGTTCAAGTGTAGCAGATTGATGATAGATGTCGATGTAAAATAGATGGTTATGAACAGGAAATGCAATAGAATTTATTTATATACAAATAAATAAAATTTATGTGTCTTTCAAATTACTATCACTATAACCATATAAAAGAAAGTATATGGGTATGAAAGTTACAAATTCTAAATTTAAAAAAAAATATCTGTCTGTTTGTTCTTGCTAATCTCTGAACCGGCTAGAGCAATTGCCATGCAAATATATAATGTTATAAGGAGTAAATTAGGCTTCTTTTATTATAGAAATTTCATTTATTTTAATTTGATGCGGGCAAAGTCGCGGATATTAGCTAAGCTATTGGATATGTAAATGATGCGAAGGAAGTGTATCAAATTTGTTAATATTAATCATTTCTTATATAATATTGAATAACACCGAAATAGTGAATAACAAACGGAGAGGGAAAATTACTCCATGTAAAGTTATTCGCATAAAATAACAGAAAAATAGTGCCAGTAATATCAATATAGAAATGTCTATTTACGAAGAAATCTTAGTCCTTAACAGCCATTAACTCCATACAAACAGAATTTTTTAATTTTAAATTTATTTAAATAATTTGTAGCATCATATTTGTACGTGTATGCCAATCGAATTTTTTGCACAAAATTAACTTCTCACGCAAACAAATACGCAAAATACGGAAGTTATTAAGAAAATATTTTTCATAAAGAGTAAATTAATATTTAAACATTTTTTTTTAATTAGACTCCCCCTCGCCTTACATGCGTTGGTCGCGAGTTCGATTCCTTGTACAATACTGACATTTCTTATTCATGAGTAAAATTGTTAGTACTGAGTTCGATTCCTTGCACAGTGCAAATATTTGTATTCATGAGTATGATTGTTTGTATCGATCTGGGTATTTTCTATGTATATTATGTATTAATTAACAAAAAAAAACTAAGTAGTTACATCAATTGCTAGTACCCATAACACAGGCTGCTTACCGTGGGACTAGATGGTGCTATGTTAATTGTTCAGAGTTATTTATTTATTATAATTTGGAATTTCGATCTAGTCCTACTATAGGACCCTGTGACATATGTGCATTCATTACTTATTTTTCTACTTCATTGTTACTTAATCAATGTGATACTTAAGTTGTTCGAGAAATTGTATACTTGCACATAATTTCTCTAATATTAATACGCAATTTGTTCTCGCAAATTGACTATAAAAGTTTCTACATCCCAGCTAACATTGTAGAACAATGCAGAATCTACAAACCGCATTTCGCTTATTCCTACTGACCCGCATCTTGATAATGCATCATTACATTAACCAGCTGTTTATGTGGATCTCGAATTTGATTGATGCCTTCACACAAAAGAACAAACAATGCAATATTCAGCCAAATAAAACTTCAAACACGCAACAATATGACTTTGGTGCACCGTCGGAAGAGCTACACGAGATGCAAACATTGCTTCCAACAGTTTGTTTTGTTTATAATCAGTTTTTATTATCACTGTAATGACACAGCAGTAACCAATCATGATTGGCCTGTGCGTCCCCCTCGAAAATTCCTATACTTTGATGACCGTCTCACCATCAATTCAGCACAGGAGATCATCAGAAATTGGGCGTCTAATAATGACTCACTCAAATTAAGATAGAAGCTTTCCAAGCGAAAGGTGTCGAGAGATCGCCGTAATTATCCAGCGCTCACCGTATACCAAGAGGCAATTATGATCTTTTTGCTTGAGACCCGTTATCTTAGCTTAGATGCGGAGCAAAAACGCAACCGGCGCAGTTCTGGGAGAAACGCCGCGGTAATCGCACGCTGCACATCTGTCGCACTCAACCACTGAATATGTCGCTTCGGGCTCTCGTCGTGTTAGTGGCTGTAATCTGCATTGGTCAGGCTATAGCCAGGCCCGTACGCAGAACTCTCAACTTCAACATGTTCGTATTACACCCCAAAGACGATACCGCGGACCGCCTATTTGTAACCACGGATGGTGTGTCAAGATTTGGACCAATATTGGAGTATTTAGTCCAACGCGTCCAAGGACTGATGTCTGTAAGACTACCCCAAGATCCATCCGCCGCAGCAGGTGTTCAATCAGACTCGACTTTGTCTCCAGCAGTTAAAGTGCAAATGGCTGATGCAGCTGAAAATGAAGTAGATGGTATACAAAAATCTAAAATGCCAGGAGTAGTCGTCAGACCTTCAAGAACGAAACCAGGCACGTATGAGGTTGAAATCGACGTCGTAGTTGACGATGGCCAACCCGAAGACAATAAGAAAAATTAGATGTATATAGAATAAAGGGCAGATGTTGGAAAACCGTGATATTATAAATTTGCATTTAAAAATGTAACTTAGTCTTAGTGCAGTTAAGTCTTATTCTATTGCTATTTATTTATTCTTGCCATATTGTTAATTAAATTTAAATTATTGTGTATGTTTTTCCGTTTACTTTTTCCCACTGTAAAGGTATACTGACTTGAAGCAATTAACGTTTGTTGATATAAAGTAAGCACGTTTAACCGGTAGCGTGGATCCGTCCTATACATATTCATTACTAACTGTATCATTTGCATTTGAAACGGTCAAACGACGGTCCAAAATTATATATTACATTACATAACACTTAGAACAGGTAAGTAATTATAACACTTTAGTTTTCCTTTTTAATATTGAAGAAAAAACAACATTTGATTTGGATAATTTGGATTCCACGTACGTAACAAAGAATATTACGACACAAACAACACCTACCAAAAAACTACTCATTTTTTGTTCAAACTGGACGTCTACGTGGAATTTTCGTTAAATATTTTTGTTTTGGAAAACTTGGTGTGATTGCTGTGTCTGCAACAATATATGTATAAATTTAATTGGGTGTATTGTAATTTGAAAACGATAGATGTCTTATTTCAAATTCTAGCTTATTTAAAATTAAATCATTTATCAAAACTCCTTACGAAATATCGTAATAGAATTGACATATTCATTGACAAAATCATACCTTTGTATAATCTATAAATAAAATAGTCCAGTTTTATTACCTTACCTATTGTTACCCATGACTTCATCTGCGTGTTTTTTTTTTAATTAAAATAAATAAAATTTCTAAAATAAACATATGTTGATAGACCTTTCAAAATTAATCAGTCCAGAAGCATACGAGATTAGCAAAAACATACAGACAATTTTTTTTTATTGCTAAAAATTAAAATCACTTCGTGTAGATCGACAGATGTTATACATCGGTAGATGTTATACATATATCTTAACCGGGTTAATAAAGAGCATTGGCATCTTTGTGCAAAGGGAAAAGACAATAGAGAAATATTGTCTGGATTATTGTAAACCAATTTTAAATCGTTATACCTAAGTACCTTTTCTGGATCTTAAATTCGTGGATCAATGTGATAAATCTTTTGGCTACAATTGAGTTGATGTCAGTCATGACGTATTGATTAGGCTGCACTGTAGTCACGACAGCCGACTAAATTACAGAGAAATCGTTAAAGTTAGAACCATATTAATATTGTCAATAAAGTAAATGCAAAACTTTGAGTCTACGTCTAAGTCTTTGCAAGTGATAGAAATCATCACCATTTTATTAGAAGATAATCATCATCATCATCATCATCGCAGCCCGGAAGACGTCCACTGCTGGACATAGGCCTCCCCCAAAGATCTCCACGACGATCGGTCCATCCATTTGGGGGGATATGCCATAATCGCCATGCTTGGTATGCGGGTTGGCGATCGCAGTATGATGGTAGGTACTCAGTAGAACGCTGCTGCCCGTCCACTGGTCGATGAATCCCTTAGTCGCCTTTTACGACACCCACGGGAAGAGAGGGGGTGGTGCTATTCTTACAGCGACACCACACGCATAATTTAGAAGATAATAAGAATGTTTTTAAGGTCATAACGCTTCCAGTAGCGGTGGTAGGCATACAACACTAAATATTTATTGTGTCACACAAGCTAATGGTAGCGGAATTAAACAAAATAATACAAATCCATTAAGGACAGTAGCGGTGGTCGAGTTTCCGCACTGAATAATTGTAATCCTACGCATGATAATGGTAGCGGAATTAAACAAAATTATATAAATCCATTAAGTAAAGATATAGTTTTATTTACTTAATGGATTTATATAATTTTGTTTAATTCCGTTTTAATAAACTACAAATTCCTTTACCATCAAGTAATTCGTACATTTAATTACCACATACTTGTTTTAAAATGAGTATAATTCACTCCATCTACTCTTTTTAATTTTGATATTTCTGCTATTTATACACCCGTAAAACAAAAATATTCACCCTTCGATATTTATAAAATTGTAGTACATAACATTGTTCTATGTATTTATTTCAGACTACTTTTGACGGCCTCGGTGGTCTAGCGCTTTAACACACCGCTTTACTTCCGACGCTCGCGGGTTCGATTCCTCGCACGGTGCAAACATATGTATTCATTAGTATGATTATTTGTATCGGTCTGGATGTTTTCTATGTATACTATGTATGTATTTACAAAAAAAAAGTATCGATGTATTTGTATCAGTTATCTGGTACCGTAATAAAAGCTTTAGCCAGCTTAACTTGGGTCTAGATGGCGCTGTTTGAATTGTTCTGATATTATTTATCTGAAGGCAGGTAGCTGATGTTATAAGAAGTAACTTAGGCTACTTTTATTTTAGTAAAATAAAATTAAATTCCACGCGGTCGAAGTCGGGAGTACAGCTAGTTGTCAGTAATTTCCGTAAATATTCCAACATGTGAAATAAATACAACAAATATTCTTAATTATTGTTGTATTTTTTTTACACATGTGAAAAATATACGACAAAAATCCTTAATTTTTGTTGTATTTATTTCACAAGTTGGATTCGGACTTTCAAATGTTCACCTAGAACATTACAGTCCGAAAGTGCTAGTATATATATCATTTAAAAAATAATAAAAACATTCTAAAAGTGAAAATATTATACACGCTATCGTTAGCAATTACGATTATATCAAGCCAACTACAACCAATATTTAATATTAATTGAATCTAGAATTAAGTATATATTATATATACAGTTGTCTTTGAAACCTAACAAATCACTGACAATACCATTAAGGAAACGTTAGTATAGACGAACAAAGTTAATTTATAAAAAAATCACAATTAAAAATAAATATCACATTTCGCAAAATTTGTATGTCATCTATACGAAAATTAACTCTAACGACTTTCTAAAACTACGAAATTTATTAAAAAAAAAAAGTCTAATTGAGTAACTACTCCTTTTTGAAGTCGGTTAAAAATAAACCAAGAAACGTCGAAAAGCAAATGAACCCTCGAAAAGAAAGCGACAGGGTCGGAAGTGCAGTCAGTGGGTTAGTATGTTGTTATCACGTGTGCATAATAATTATATGCGCGTACGCAGTCCCTGGCTGTCACATTGAAGACCACCGTCGAAGGATTCACATTGTCTGTAATTGATAATCCAGTGCTAAATTTTATTCACGTACAGTCCAGTTAACACAAGTGTTCTAAACTAAATTTCTCTGTTTTAAATATAGTAGACGTAAAAAGTACATTAACAGAGTTACTCAAAGTAATTTATTGATCTATTGTGATTTATATTAACAAAAAACAAATTGATATAGTAATTATAATTAAAGATGATAATTAAAATAGAGAAGATAACGATTAAGAAGTTTAGATAAAACAAAGAACAATCAGTGATAAAGTTTAATTAGCAACGGAAAGATAAAAAGGGACAGTTAAAATGAGTTTACACGTAGTGTTATTGTTATATTCGCAATTAGCATTGATGTACGCAGCACCGTTCCAGTCTCATCAACCTCTGCAGTTGGAGTCATCACAGATCTCATTGCAGCAACAGTTATTAGCTTTACAGCAGTTACAGGCGTTAAGACAGTTGAATTTAGTAAATTCGCCAATGTTGCCGTAAGTTATTTTTGATTTAAATTACAAAGCATTCATGTCAAGAATTCCATAAAAGAGTATGCAGGAGTCTAAGAACAATTAAAAAGATGGAATTTTGAAATATGACCCAGTACTAAACTAAGCTAAAATATGTAAAACAGTAGAGTATTCTTGTCAATATATTTTTATATACGTTTAAAGAAGAAATTAAACTTATGGATTCAGCTAATTATAAATACATCAAATTTGAGCATGAATATCAGCATAGAGATCACAAAATAACCGCCCAGGAAATATTTTTGAGACTAATGTATTTTTGTATAGAGTAATTTCAGTGATCTTCAATCTGAAGCACAGTTTAGAAAGTATGTTGTTACAGTAACCATAAATATAAAATATTTTGTCTCTTTTTCAATATAGGCAAACATTTGTTTTATTTTAATATTGTAAAGGTCATCTAGCTACACCCTGCTTACAATTAATGAATGCTGTATTCAAAACACGATGCTTATCTGCCGAATAATTATATGTAACGTATATATTTTATTTCAGATACTCCGCACCTCCAATGATTTTAATATTACCAAGCGCACTGCCAAATACTATGATAGACACGAATAACTATTTTAAACTTTCTCATACAGACAAATTAGGAAATAAGAACCAATTAAAGAATCCCAACAACGAGGAACTCGATGAAGAACTAGACTCTATTATTGTAAACGCAGAAACAGATGTCGATCGCAACGCTGCAGTTGAACAATCACAAAAAGCGATATTACTTCTACCAAATAGAGGAAGAATTTCTATAGGAGGTATTATTTCCACAATACCTTTTCTACCTATAGAAATTAACGTTCCCGATACAGCTATGTGGATATATAACTGGATTTCAAGTATCATAGCAGGTATTGGACAAAGATGGCCTTTGAAGCCTAGACCTGGTGAAACTCCACAGGATGCAAATTTAAGAGTACTGCTGAAAGAGTTACAAACTAAGAAGCAATATCAGGCACCTCCATTTATAATTATGCCTGTGGAAATGCCTATAATTCCAGGACAGTTGTGATAATTACGCGAATATAATTACGGTCATTGTGAACAATACGCGTAGGACTGTTTTATACATTTGTCAGCTGTTTAGTTTTATACATATTTAACATAATTGTTTACAATTGTACACCTTTTATAAACGGGATAACGTCTGTAATACCTTCGAAATATCGGGAGTTCAGAAATAATATTGTCATAAATATCCCGTTTACATAATGTATACAATAAGCGTAAGACAACATATAAGTATAAATAAATTTGTGATTTATTTATTTATTACACGTTATTGCGAGATGTGAAAATGTGTTCAGGATATATGTTATTTGTATATATAAAATTAAATTTTCTTTTTCAGGATTCATCAAATAGATGTTATTTGTATAAAATTGTTCATTGATAAATATTTAATACTTAGATGAATTTACAGTATTCTACTTTTGGAGACAGAAGCATGCTTACTTTAGTCTTCATTATTGTACATGTATTATAGGAAAATAGTTATTATATATATATATATATATATATATATCACATAGTCTAATCGACATACCATTACTCCATGTTTGTCCAGAATTTTATTATATATATAAAACGACGAATCTTACTAACATAATAAACACAATAAAGTTTGTGAGTATCGATAAATAGGAGACTGGATGGATGTTTGTTATTCTTTCACGTAAAAACGACTGAACGGATTTTGACGAAACTTAACAGTAGCTAGTTAGCTTATACATCAGAAAAACACGTAGGCTATAAATTGGCGGGTGAAGCCGCGGGCACAGCTAGTACTAAATAAAATATTTAAGTATCATAAACAAGCTTCTATTCTCTCTGTCTCTCTAGTAGTGAGGACATCCTCACTACTAGAGAGACAAATAAATAAACAATAAATAAAGTCAATTAATACATATTAATTGACTTTATTTATTGTTTATTTATATTGCATCAAATGTATGATACACAATAAATAGTAATAATATATCGGGAAACGCAATACTGAAAGTTTTAGATGTAAATAGAAAAAACATACGTAGTCATTACCATACAAAATATTATATATTCAAATTACATTTTAAGAACTCGTAATGTTAATTTTTCATAGACAAACAGTTCTTTTTCTTTGTGGGAAAGTATTGAATATTGTATTAATATCTGTTTTCTGTATTTTTATTAGGAATACGCAGCAAAAATAAAAATACACAGTAATATAAATACTTTATTCCGAATAAGGTACATTTCTTGTTAATTTATAATTTATTATAAATCAATTACAATGAAATGTTCTTTCTGATTTGATTTTAATAAACGTTCTCATAATAATCAATATTATTTTTATAAAATAATTTCACTTTTTTTATGTATACATAGATATATAAATGATCGTTACATACATGTTTGATATTGTAAGTTACGGTAATATACCATACACTAATTCAAGAGAATGAATGGGTTCAAGAGTTTAACTCAGAAGGACTAAATATTTAATAAGAAGATTATGGCACCAATTAATATATTTTGTAAATAGAACATACAAATAATTATGAACAGATAAATTAAATAAATAAACTTAATTATAACAACAAAGTTCATATTACGCGGGCATATAACCTGCAGCTTTTAAAAGGTAAGACTTCGTAAATTATTACATCTCAGAGTCATCAGATCTTCGAGTGAAATTTTATATGATATAAATTCTATTAAATAAAAATATATATTTATAAATAAATATTGAAGTTACACTGTTAAACACCAATCAAACTACAACCTACGTGACACAAATATTATGGTACAGTACTATTATCATAAGAAAAATAAATCGATAAATTTAATTATATTAAAGTAAAATAAAAGCAGAAAATAATTTTAACAGATATCTATATCGATCTTTTAACTTAATGCCAGCACATGAATCTATAAATTAAATTTATTTAAAATGAAGAAACAAAAATAAGCAATACAATTTTTAATTTCGTTAAATATAAAAAAGGACACAAATACAATAATTTTGTAATAATAAACAATATACCACATTAGAACAAATAAAACTAACATACAAGCTAATGCTAAAAATAAAATGGCAACATCAATAACCTTGCTTCGTCGTTCCAAAGGTCCAAATCGATTTACGCAAATAATCTCCCAAATACGCTTGTGACATACAAACTGTCATACTCGTAACACTATACAAACGAGCCAAAGACGATCACTAATCGCTTCCTGATTACTATATAGAAGTGGTAGTAAAGTTGTAGGAGAAAGCAATTGCAAGTAATTAGGTACTACGTGAGTATGAAGATAATTGTGTCAAACATACAATCGCAAGAGAAATATACTTTATAAAATATATATACGAATAGAAAGATCAATAATATGAAAAATTACAAGCATAATCAATTAAAATAATCATTACAGCTGCTTAGTAAATTAAAGCAACACATGCTCAAGTTCCAATCAAATAAATCGAAAATAAGTTAAATAAAATATTCATGAATACAATTCAGACGAACTTAATTGATGAAAGAATTTAAATAGATAACGATTCAATCAATTATAAATATGTGAAACAAATCCATAAAAGACATAAAAATATCGAATACATGTTCCCTATGGGATGATACCTTGATTTTAGATTCTTAAAAAACAACACAAATATACAGTGCAAATAAATCAGTATACTTTTATAAATTTCTTGCGATTGTACATTATAATATGTATTATGCTCATAATTGGGAATGCCACCGAATTTCTCGAATTATCATTTAACCTAAGATTATCACTTTTTATTGTATATTGAAATTGTTTAACAACTTCAAATTATACATCATAACGCTTTTGTTTTAATTCGTAATTTTTACTGTTGATGCTGTCCAGACACTCCTACTGTATCGTGATCTACAGGATGTCCAGGATTGACACCACCTCCTTGCAGTTCACTCTTGGCTGTTATGATAGATACAGGGTAGGTGTAACTGTAAAAGAAACCTCGTGGAGGACCCTGAAATGAGAAATATTCATCAAATTTGTATAACTACTAAAACATTTCACTGTTTAATAAAACTTTTATTAAATGATTTAAAATTAATGTTGCATATTTCTTCGTATACTCAATTTGGATTTAAGTTTATATAATATATTTTATATTTATATTTTATAAAATTTTGTTTAGTTATAAAATTATTGATATTGTCCTATCCAAGAATGTTAGTACACAGCCTTCCTTATTAGTATTGTAGTTAAATTTTGAGGGTTTTGTCTATTAATATTTTTATTCAATTTGATATTTCATCACCTCTTTCACATCTCATATTATTTTAAATATTATTTTTGTTTTTGCAATTCTAATTCTACTAATATCATTTGATAAAAAATCAGGTAAGTTCTTTGGATAAAATATTAAATTCAACTCACAGTGGGCTCAGGATCCTGGTATTTAGCAGCATCATATTGACCAGACTCGTACTGTTGGTCTGCATTCTTTTGATATTGTTCTTGTACAGATTTGTACTGCGCACTCGCTACTGCCTGCTGTCCAACCTGTCCTTGACTTTGAGTTTGGTACTGTTGCTGACCAGCATAATTCTGTTGGTATGACTTTGGTTCACGGTTTACGGAGTTCCCTTCAGCATTTGCTACGTAGCTTTGTGGAGCAGAGCCTTGTGCTTGATAATCTTGGAATTGTTGATTTTGAGATTTGTACTGACTTGATTGTTGAGCTCCAAATCCGGGATTTGGCTGTTGAACTTGTCCACCAAAACCTTGGCTACCTTGTTGACTGTTATATCCTTGATTTCCAAAGCCTTGACTTTGTATTCCTTGTTGACTCTGGAATCCTTGAGAGCTACCAAATCCTTGATCACCTGCTTGATCAACGATTCCTTGCTGACCAAATCCTGGAGCACCTTGTTGACTTCCGAATGCACTGCTTTGTTGGCCTTGGTATCCTAGACCACTTTGACCTTGGAATCCTTGCTGATTTTGACCCTGGTTTGCATGTAGTACTCCCAATCCTTGATTGCCCTGTTGACTTTGGAATCCTTGCTGGTATCTTTGGTATGCTTGGTTATTCTGTGAATTTTGATACCTGAACAGATGGAAATATATTATAATATACATTTATCAAAATTATTACAGTCAGACTATTATCGACACTAATATTGTTGCTGTACTATAAAATTGTACGTATGCGCGTGTAATCTTCGAATCACTATATCTGCATGAAAAATTTTATTGTCATTTGAAAAATACTCTATTCTAGATTAAAAGTAGATATATGTTGCGGCAATAGCCATACGATGTTGTCGCTTTAGACGATGTATATTAACAGATGGGAGTAAACTAACCCATGTACATTAAAATATTGATTTTATATATTAATTAAAAATAGTAAAATATTTATATTTGTCTTACTGGCCTTAATTAATTGTAAGTATTACATTAAAGTATCTAGATAACTGTGTCCCATAATGCACATAAGTTAGATAGTATTATGTACAATCCGTGCGAATACTGAATAAGCTATTGAAGATTCGATAAAGTATAATATACAAAGTTTTGTCCATAATGTCGAACAAATATATTATACATAGATAACACTAAGACCCACAACAATAATTATACTCATGAATACCAATGTTTCTACCGTGCGAGGAATCAAACCCGCGATCGTAAGACGATGCGCTAAACCATTAGACCAACAAGGCAGTTATAAATTATACCCATATAGTTGATAATACTGAAATAGGAAAATATGATTACGTTATTATTATATTAATAAGATTTCTATAAAAAAACAAGTCATTATTCATAGATACTAACTGTGGTTGCTGTTGTTGCAAATTTTGGTAAGGATGAAGATTGGCATCAGCTGCTTCCTTCCATGCTTTCTCGTGAGCTATCTTGGCCAGCCTCACTGCTTCGGTATCTTGCACAGGCTGTGGTTGGTATTTGGGAAGATTGTCTTCTTGATGGAAACCTTGACTATCTGCCCAGTATTTGACCTAGCAAAAAATTAATATGCTTATAATGTGATAATAAGTAGTTCGCTCTTTAATATACTAAGCATACCCTCTACTCGATTCACCCTGGAAACTATCATGATAAATTCCTGGTGAATTTGTCACGTTGGGCTAATTTACCTGATCTCATGTCCATGTGTCAAAAACTCTTAAAAATCTCACATGTGAAAAAATCTCAAAATCTTTTAAAAGTAAAGTATAGCTCATTCTATCACTGAGGAATTAGCTTTCTGTGTATCTGTGTGTGTGGAGATAATCTTATCTCCTCATGTTATCCTCTATTGGTAGCATTTTATTTTTTTCAGAAGTGTATAACATCTTAGTCATTTTATTATCATTTACCTTAATAAGGTCATTACTGCTTCCAGCCTTGTATATGTAGGAACCAGTAACGTCGCCTGAGTGGACGCGGTTTTCAACTTTGGCTGATTCAGGTGTTTTGTAACCATACGCATAAGCTCCAAGTCCGTCTTGACCGTGAAATTGGGAAGCGTCGTAAACCTGGAAAACAATTTACGCATTTAGATAGAAATTTCATTATTCTCCTTGAGAGTAAAATTTCTCTATTTACTTACATTATTCTCCTTGAGAGTAAAATTTCTCTATAGGTGATATGGTAGTGGAATTATGGATTACGGAGGTATAACATCGTTGTCCTCACAAATGGCTATAAATAGGAGTTACCATAAGGGCCATGAGATTATATAATGTCCGTACAGTTGATGTTTGGCTATGATATTAAGAGAAGTACATCTGGATTTGATACCTCTTCTAAGTAGTCATCGGTGTTTTCAATCTCCCGTCCATTCTTCCAGTAGTGGCCTAGTGTGGGACCTGCTTCGGCAGTTCGAAACTTAGGGTCGTTGTATTTCACCTGGAATATTTCATAATAAATTAAATTTTCAACTTCACCCTGCTTCTTTTTATATTAATAATGTTGTGATCATTCGTAGATCAAAGTAACTAGGCTTAAATAAATACTTTGCTATAGACCGAATCCTTTCTTATAAAGAGAGGTTCGAGGTCGGAACGACAATTAAAGAAATAAAGGTACAAGAGTATTTACCAGTGGTAAGACAGCAGTTCTCCCTGACAGCTGAGGGTCCGTGAATGGGGGGCTGTTCAGGTACTGCTGCGCCTCCTCGGGGGTGATGTCGATTTTGAAGATGTTAACGGGATTCGCTTCCGCTGCTACCGATGCCACCTGTAAATAGATAAAAATTCTCATTAAGATAAATGTATATTTTTTTTGTTTTATGAAATACTAACCGTTCCGGCGTCTTCGCCTGCGTAGATTATTAATAATGCCTTATCTTGGTAGCATTTTTAATTATTTAGGCTAAATCATTCCATCCCCGCTTACCACCCGTTTCATCCTATTTTTCGCTTATCTCTTTTCCTCTTTTCTCTTATCGGCTTTAGACTATCTGTATTCAATTTCATTTAAATCGGTTCAGTAGTTTTGGGGTGAAGGCATGCCTTCACCTCGACGGACAGCCGGATAGAGTTACTTTCCTATTTACAACATTAGTAGAGATGATGCCTTTAAGGAGGATGTGCATAAATTGTCCGTAATGGATATGTATGTAAGTATATTATGTATACGTGGTGATCTAGCAGTTTAGCATACTATTTTACTTTCCAATACTCGCGGATTCTATATACGAGTATCTTCAGGCAATCCGAAGTTTTGTATTCATGAATAATTAACATTTTTGTTTGTATGGTTGTTTTTCTATGTATATTATGTTACTAATAATATAAACGCGGAAGTTTGTGAGTGTGGATGGATGGATATTTGTTACTCTTTAACGCAAAAAGTACTGAATGGGTTTTAATGATACTTAATAATATAGCATACTAGTTGTAAGTACACAACTAGTAAGCCTGCATGAAATTTATAGCATATATCTTATTCTAATATATAAGCTATATTACTATAAAGTTTCATCAAAATCCATTCAGTAGTTTTTGCGTGAAAGAGTAACAAACATCTATCCATGCAAACTCACAAACTCTAACATATATAATATTAGTAAGATACTTCAGAATAAAACATAGGCTATAAATTTCACGCAAGTGAAACTGGGTGCACAGCTAGTGCATGTATATTCACAAAAAGTATTCAAGTATGCCCATAATTGTCTGTAGTACCCATAATGTAGTTTATAACTAGATGGCACTGTGTGAGTTATCAGACGCTACTTCGACTCTGCCCAATCCCACCCTAACCCACTTATGACTATAACCGTACCGACTAGTGCGGTCGACTATGCACCGAGGAGTAATATCCGACATTCACGGCAACGTCGCTCGAGGCACGTTCTCATTGACCCCGACGACCCTATAACGGCAGTAAACCTCCTCACGGGTCCACCCGTTCCACCCCGACCACACTTTTACACACACACACGACACCGTCCTCGCCGGCGAAGACGACGACCTCATACACACCATATCGCGCATTCAAACGGGCGCGCGGGCGCCTGAGCGCGACCAGGCTTTCCACACCGGCGCCCCCGGTCGCCCCTCCGATCGATCCCCCGTCCAATTCAAACGGGAACCGATGTTACGACGGCCTGAGCCGAGGTTCGAACCCCTAGCGGTGCCCTCAGACTAAAATCCTATCCTTCAGGGGGGAGCTGGCCTTCAGCCGCTCCATAAGTCCTTCCGCGAGTTTGGAGTGCCATCTGCACTCGCCCCCTATCGTCCGGTGAAGCTGTAAAGGCCAACTGCGGCCAAAAGTATTACGGTCGTCCGAAAAAAAAAAGTGAGTTGTCCGGGATTATTTACTTATTTTTCAAATGTCCAAACCAACGCAGTTTTCTTATCCGTCGTTGTCTATACGTCATCTATAAATCTACAAAACTCGCCAATCCTGTTGTTTGTCACTATGTTTATAAAGTAAGTAATATATACATATATAATAAACAATAATAAAAACGTTTTAAGCAGGTTATAAGCATGATAAATATTTACAATTATGATTCACACAAACAAGGCGATTTATTTTAGCGCAGTTACGTCAATTCTGTACGCATTTACCTAATATTTACTATAATCACGGGTGATGCGTTTGATTCACAGAATCACGATTCATTCATCAGGAACCGGACCTCGTCTTCTTGACATAACCTTTGATTATTTATACATCTTAATACACGTGTTAAAATATCTATTATTTAGTAACTCAACAAATAAACCTTCACAGCGGGAGTCGCTTTCAGCGTTATCAATATAATTTAACTTTTAAGTTATACAGTAAACATTATTGTAAATTAGTATAGTATTAGTATGTAATATTATGTTATCTGTGGTATTAGTGTAATGATGTAATCTATACATATAAATAAAATTGTAGTGTCAGTTTGTAATATTGAAATAACAGTTTTTTACTACATGCTTATGAATATAAATACGGTAATGTTGACTAGTACTCCGTTTACTAGCCAATGTACCACATCCGATTGACCTCCACGCGGTTCCCACTGAAAACTACCATTTTAAATTCTTGGTAAATTTATCACTATGGGCTAACTAACCTGACCTCATGTTCATCTTATCATCCTCCAGCCCCGCCAGCGTAAATCGTTACATGAACCTTTCCATTATCAGCCATTGAAGAAAATATATGTTGTCGAGAACCGTACTTTACCTCAATAGAGATGTGCAAAAATTCAATTCATAGGTTTACCTCAAGAGAGGGGTGCAAAAATTAAATTTATAGGTTTACCTCAAGAGAGCGGCGGAAAAATTCAATTTATAAGTTAACACAATTTATGTTCAATTAAATAAAATCACTGTATTAAGTCTAGTAAATAGTAGTAGTATTACGTTAAATATGATCTATAATAATTGATCCAATAATAAGAATAAACAGGTTAAAAAAATTAATGGAGTTTCATATATTATGTTTTAAAAGACACGAACATAACAATTATTTAATAATAACATATATGTATCACTATAATCCTAGATGAGGTAAACAGAGACTTAAAAACAATTTTTATAGCACGTGATCTGCTCGTGTATGGCAATAGTTGTTCAGGCACGGGATTCATTTATCATTCATTTAATATTAAACATAGACACCAATATAAAATATAAAAAAAAATATTGTCCAAAATTCAATTGAGTGTCTTCCAATTCTTCTCAATTGAATCTGTAGTCTGAACTGAACGGAAACTGAACTGAATTTTATAATACAAAAAAAAATTAAGTTGATAAGCAGCTAAATTGTCCTACACGACTTTTGATTTCGATTTTTCAATCAATTTGAGCGTATGACTTTATTAAAAATCATAAAAAACTTTTTAATAGTCCTCATATAATGTTGTTTTTTATTCAAAGTAATTCGAATGCATTTTTTGTAAAGAGAGTATAGGATGCAGTATTCTATATTCACCGGACATTACCAAAACCGGTCTTTTTAACGGACGACCGAAGAATGACATAATGACCTTCGCTAATTTTGGATCAATTTCGATAAATGAATTAATATTTTTAGGATCAAAATACAGCGACCACCAGTATATACTAGTATATGCTAGTATAAACTTCTTCCAACATCTGCATTTTTAAAATAATAACTAAGTTATGTCCTGTCTTGTGATACAATCAATCTTCACACCAATTTTAATTGAGATCCAATTGCAATTCAGCCGGTAAAAACAAAAGAAATAAACATTACAAACTCAATATTGCTATAGAGGGGGTAAGGGGACTATTAGTAATATGGACTAATAACCCCATTGAAAACAATGTACCTTGTTAGATTTACTTTATGGTTCTCCCTGGACATCATAGTGATAAATTCCTAGCGAATTTGTCATCATAGGATAACTGACCTCATGCTCATCTTATTGTCATCCTCCACTAGTGCCCCGTCAGCATATACCGTTGGCGCGCATTATCAGCCAATAAAAAATATACACTATTACTACGAGTATGTAATATTATGTTATCTGTGGTATTACTATAGATTATAGCAGTGTACCTAAACAATTTAATCTACAAACGTAACCTAAACAGAATAGTCCCCAAGATTCATAAATAGGTTTTGCTGTGTATTGTTTGCTTTTATCGTCATGTTAGCCTCAAGTTACATCACTCGCCAGTTAGTACTGGATAACAAGGACATGTCATTACATAGTATTTCCCACCTAATGTTTATTAAATGCACATATCCGTCACACTCTAATCATAAAAGCGAATATATAATTTTACGTCATTGTATCAGATTTCACATGTCCTTTAATAGATTACCCCTCATTGGTATTGTTGGTACAATGATACTGATAATGGTATTTTTCAGCTAAATTATTTAGTGTTATACAACAGTGGGGAGAAAATTATTGAAAATAAGGATTAGTGACTTCTTTATCATTGGACAATTCATATAGCGCCATCTACTATCAAACTAAGTAGAGCTTGTTATTTTTTAACTTTCGTGTTTAATATACATTATGTATATTATTAACCTGGTCTTAACCTCTCGACGTTACAGTCAGGTCGTGACCACGGCTAGTGCAACCTAGTCGAAACGTCGACCTTTATTTGCCATAAAATTATTTGTGTTAAGACCCGATTAATAATATAAATAATGTATAAGTAGGGCTTGTGTTATGGATACTAGTTATTGATACAAATTCTTATACATTTATTTTTGTAAATACATACATAACAACTAAACCATACATAATATACTTAGAAGACATACTGACCGATACAAACAAACATACTCATGAGTACAAATGTTTGTACCTACCTTGCGAAAAATCAAATCCGCGACTATCGAAAGTAAAACAGTGTACTAAACAGCTAAATCAGAAAGAGTTAACGATAAACTAGTAATATTTTAATAGATGATTATAACGGACGGATATTAAAATTGTTTAAATATTAAAATGTTTTTTTTTCGTTCAACATCATAGAAAATAAATATAGAAGAATACAAAATTAAACAATGCCTTACGCATGCATTTTCATTGATTGTAAGAACAACAATAGATCAACTATTTTGTGGTTAAATAGTAAAGTAAACCTCCTTCTTACAGGATTGTAGTAACAAGTATTTATTTATGTATTATAATTGAATAGTGTATCGGCCTGCGCTAACAATTTATGCTGATAGGGCACCAGTGGAGGTTGATAAAATGAGCATGAGGTTAGTTCGCCCATTGTGTAAATTTATCAAGAATATAT